TGAAACCCCACGCTCGTTAACCGTTTGTTATCGTCAAATTAATTTATATTTTATAAATTTATTAATATGATATGTTTATAACGTGTTTTTGTATTTTGTTTATATTTATTGTATTGCAATTTGTGTTGTTATAATAATTTCGAAGTTGAAACGTTTATTCGATTTTTATAATTCGAGTTGATATTTTTGTGTGTTTTTGTATTATTATTATGTAAAAACATATTGATTATACAGATGTGGTACTAAGGTTTCGACCAAGACCATGGTTTCGACTAATATTTAATAATTTTTATACCATTGTAAAAACTAAATATTAAAAGTTATATTTGGACGATGTTTTAAAAATAAATTAAAAAATTGATCATTACTATTCAAATAGTATTTAAATTATAAGTCGAAACCTTGGTACTCGTCGAAACTTTAATCCCACATCTGTAATGGTAATTTAAGTTTATTCAATAGAGTTTATAATTTGAATATTCCCAACAAAAATTAACGACTAGATGAGCAGAAATCAAATTTCATATTATGGTGTCCAAAAGTTGAACTATTCATTCAAATTTTCGATGTTTTAATTTATTCGTTTTTGTTATTATGTTTTGATGTATTGTTTCGTATTATAAGTTATAAATTGTTAAAAACTATAAAATAAAAACCAATATCTAGTTTGAGTTGTTTGGAATGTTCGTTTTTACGAATTTACCCTTGTTTTAATTGATAGCCATATTATATAACATTTTTACAAAGTAAATTATTTTTTATGTTTTAGAAGCAACAATAACATTATTTTTTGCCCAATAACAATTCGCAGTAATATTTCACGCCGCAGTGATTTTTCACGGTACTCTACTGCTTAATTTACTGCATCCACGGAAACAACCATAACCAATTGATGTGACACTTAATGGTATTGTGATGCTACTTAAACAGCTACATCCATAAAAACAATAATTACCAATTGATGTCACACTCGATGGTATTGTAATACTAATCAAACTACTGCATTTTCTGAAACAACCATAACCAATTGATTTAACACTTGATGGTATAGTAACACTGCGTAAATTAATACATTCATTGAAACACCAATCACCAATTGATGTCACACCAAATGGTATGTTGACACTACTCAAACTATTGCATCCATCAAAACAATATTCACTAATTGATGTTATACTCGATGGTATGTTATTACCAAATATCTCGCTATCGTTTTGAGTGTAAGTGACATTTTCAAACTCGATGTTTGGACTTTTGTTTCTGTCAACAGTTTCAAATTCAACATTGAACCACACAATGATTCGAAAGAACTCTTTTTTCAAAACAACTTTATTTTCTTCTGTGTTTGTCATAAATTCATTGCCAAAATTCTCATCTTCTTTATTCCACAAGTGAAGTGTCTCGATGTTTGGAAAATATCCGAGTGTTTTGGAATTTAACGGAATCGGGTTAAAATGGAACTTCTCCATATTTCTTTCAAACTTCTTGCATACCAACTCCAAGTTAATAAAGTCGTTGATAGTCTTGAAGTACTTAGAAACTATCATTATGTGATACCCAGAAAGTCCACGCATTTTGATATTCTCAGTTTTTTATTGTTTAACACTTTTCTAACCGAAAACCATTTTTTAAATATAGGTAAAGTAAAAAAACATTTGTCTTTAAACTTGGTTTTATTTTATTTGCTCAAGAAACCCCTTCAAAACCGAAACTTGCCAACAGACAGTTTTATTCTAATTAAATAAAGTGTAAATTAAAAATAAATTACCTAAGAGTTGGAGAAAAAAAAATGTTGAAAATAAATATAATGAACTGTTTCATTTTGGACCCCAAAATGTTTAATTGGAAGAGAAACCGTTCATCTTGATTGAGTTTCTCGTCGGTCTATCAACTTTTCGAACAGTTTCTTTTTGTATAACACTTCATGGTTATTCGCTTGTAATCGAAATCGTTATTAATTTTATAGTCTTTTTAAAATAAACTACAAAAAATCGACCCAAATATTTTAAACAAAACTAAACTTTATCGAACTTTTTATTATATGTTTTAGTTAATTAATTTGGTCAATCTATTAACAATGGTGTTTAAAACTATTTACTGTGAATACCAATGTGTTGTTCAAAAATGTGTTTGATGAATTTTTTTTATTATAAAATCCACCCTTAGTTTCTATTAGTAAGTTACAATATCGCAAACTTTTATTATCTATACTAGATAAACGCGTTATGGTACCCAGTTGCAAAATAAATAACAGGCGATGTTGTGCTAAATGGGTACACGGAAAAGTTGTGTAGGGGTGCACAGATGGGTTGTTTAAAAGCTGTTTTGTAGGCCCTATTAAAGCTCCACATTTACAGTATCCACTTACTCGTATTATCATTCTACATATTATGAATATTAAATGGTTTTATTTTTTTTAAATATAAAGTCTAAAGTTTCTTATTTTTTATAAAATAATAATTAAAAATAATCGGTTTTAGTTTTCAATTTAGTTGGCAAAAAAACTCATTTGGTAAGACTTAAAAAAATAAATATCTTGAAGAAAGATTGGGATAATAAAGTGTTAAGAAAATTTAGTTGTATTGAGTTTGTCATTATATAACATAAATCATCATACTGAAAATGTTTTTATTTTAAGTTATCCAAATTATCGTCGGTAATGTACTTGATAAAAAATATAGCCGTGTTGCTTCGGCCAAAGACCTCTAGCCCGACGGGCAGATCAAAGGCGTCAAGAGGACAGGGCTTTCTATACTTCAACGAGCATCAGTCTTATTCAAACGAGCTCAGCCAAATGAATCTTCTTGCATTTGGTTCTTGTGACGAATTGAGTTAGTCACACTCGATCACTAGCTAATCAATAATTAACTTTTTATTAATTATTATAAGAATTATATTTTTAAAAAATTATGGGGTTCTTATTAATAATTAAAAAAATTATTAAAAGTTATTAAAATATTAATAAATTTTTAAAATAAATTTTTAATAATATAAATTATACATCAAAAAAAGTTTTTTAAACTATAAACCAAATTAAATCAAACTCATTATCAACTTTATATTTTTAAAATTAATTTTGAATTATATTGGGGCAGTCAATTTATGTTTGCATTACTATGTCTTTAAGTAAATGACTTTATTACTCATCAAATAAACAATATTTTATTGTCCAAGTTTTATTGCTTAAATAATTTATAACATCTTTTTTTTCTAAATTATTTGCTTTCTTATTATTAAAGATATAAACTAAACGCTTATCACTTGCATTAATGCTTATGTTATTTTTATTTTGTCAATAAACATTTTAACATTTAAAAGTGTTGTTGTTTTTTTGGAAATTAAAAAATAATTGTATCTGCATCAAAGTTTTTAATATTGTCAATAAAAATACCAATATATATGATATAAACATATATAACTGATATGAATAATATCAATTTATGTATTTTAAAAAATATTTATCAATTATATTGTTTTTATTATCTAAAATACATCAATAATTGTTAATATAAATATAATTCTTTTTGTGAACATTTTTAACACTAAAAAAAACACTGTCTTGTATGCCAGTGCATAATGTCTAACTATGTCTCAAGTTTGTTTTTTATATTTTCAAGTGAATTTTTGGTGCAAGATTTATTTGTCAAGTAAAAATTAAAAAAATCAAGTTCGTAATTTTGTTTTTTCGAGTAAATGTTTCTAACAAAAAAATGAGGTTAAGCAAAGTAAAAAAAATTTGGGAATAATAAGTTTAAGAAATTAGGGCATTCCAATAAAGATTTTTGAAAAACAGTTTACATTGTATTATGTTATTTTTTATTGAAAGTAATAACAATTTATGTAAAAGCTGTTGTATGTCTTAAACATACATAACACGTTATTTAAGAACTGTTTTATTGTATAATCAAAAAACATATATAAACAATTGCTGTTGTACACAGTGTCATAAGTTTTTTATATTATTCAAAATATCAGGTAAACAGAAATAGTTTTTTATATCTAAACAAAAGAAAGCTAAAAAAACTGGAAAATAAAATAAATAAATTTCAAATATTATACGTAATTATTTATAATTATGCTTCAAACGGAATCAGATATATTCGATACATATTACGTAAGACTGATTGCATTCGTTTTGTATTAGTTCAATACGGTTTTAATTGTTGAAAAACAACTATTTTTTTCATTTTTTTAAATAAATGTATCCAAAGAGTACTCTGTTATAATTAATAACGCACATTGACCAACACTTTTAAAATAGAATTTATTAACTATTTCAAATTATATTTAAATTTATATGATAGTAAATAGGAAACTGGGAAGATATTTTAAATGTTTCCCGAAATCAAAAAATGTCGTATATTCACCTCTAGTCAGTGGATTCTTAGTGAAACAGATCATTGAAAAAAGCTTATAAAAAAACACTCAAACAATCTGTTTTTGCGCCCATACATTACTTTCAATGTCTTCCCTTGGCGTGGATATACCAAGCAGGGGTCTACATTATAATTCATACAATACAGAAATTGGGTGAAACGGAGACGTACAAACAATGGCTTAAAGGTGGTATTCTATCAAAAAAACAAATGTTTTATTTATGTAAAGGTGATGAGGATGGTCACCTTTAATAAAACAAATAATATATTTATTTTAAATTTATATTATTAAATAATTATATTATGAAGTATTTTGTCACATTGTGGTCAAATGGGAAAAATATTATTTATGTTATTACATGTGTTATTGGTAATATGGTTTGTTATTATTTATATTTATAATAATTTTTGGGGGCATATCTTTACCCGTAAGTTAGGAATGTTTTCACTTATAATTGACCAAAAATAAATAAGGTTAATGGACAAACTTCAATAATATAATGATGGGTTCTGTCACACTGTGAGATAATTCCTAGTTTAATATAAAATAACATCACAATATAAATATCTGTTTTTTATTAATTGAAAATTACAGTAGGGGGAGTGAGGGGCTTGACGAAACTGAGGGGCTTGACCTATTGTTTTATAATCTTTTTTACTATACAGAGTTTTCCCGGTTCTATTTAAAAAATAACAAAAACTATAAATAATTATTTAAAAAATGTCAAAGAAAAAGATTCTTAGCTTATAAAAATGAAATTAAACGTTTTTTGAAAAGGAAAGATTAACACCCTTCAATGTTATGAAGAAAAATGAACAGCTTATTTTCATTTTTTGAAATAACCAAGAATTAATTCACAAAGCTTCAATTATTTATGTTTCTACGACAGCACAAATACAACTTCTTTCTACAAAGTATTTCCTTTAGCAACAATAAATAAGTTGTTTTTCACACAAGCCAATTCGTCTCACGATTTGGCTTGTGTATTTTGAGTGGTTAAAACAATAACTTACTGAATACTCTGACAATTAAAGATCAATTGAAGCCAATTTTACAGTAACTGAAAACAGCGAAGTTCAAATTAAATTGATTTTTAAATGAGGTAACATAGTGATAGTGATGGCAGATCACGACAAGTTCTAAGAGAACAAGAAGAGCCGAGAGAGCATATTTATGTTTCCATAGATCGTCATACTAAATTAGTGTTGGGAGCATAATAGAGCAAATCAAAAAAATCATTGCTGCATCATATAAGCGTTCTGGTGTTGTTGTAGTCAATATTGGCAAGATCAAAAGAATGTTCATTTTATCAAGGAGGCTTCCAGGTTGTTCCAAGAAGCCAACAGTGTTTATACCAAAAAACACTTGGCATTGTTTTGTTCTTCCGCACAGACCAGCATATTTGGTCAAGATCACAGAAGAAAGTTTGCCTTGGTATATCCAAGAGCTGAACCAACAACGAGAGCCATATCAAACAAGAAGACTAACGCCTACTGATGACTTATAGGGGGTCTATAAACTGGTTGGGATCCATAAACTAGTTGGGGAATTTATTAGAAACTTTTAAAGGAAAAAACAATATTTACACGTATTTTGGAAAAGAAAAACCCTGCTCTGCAGTTTTGGGAAGTATAAAACATGTAAATTTCTATTTTTGTTTTTGTTGTTTTGCAAATGTAGAAATTAATAATAAATCAATGAAACCAAAAAACAACCAATGAATAAAAACAAATCATTTATATTTTTTGTGGATAAAATATATTATTTCGGAAGAGAATCGCTTTCTCTTTTTTTATCATATAACACACATTTAAATATTTTGTTCACACACGACACAAAAAGTGGTCAACAACCGTGGCAAATTAAATTATCTCGCTCTCACACATATTATATATTATATTTTATCACAATCTCTCCCCGCATATTATAAATATCGCAATGAATGACTGTTTTGAGTTCATAATTTTTTCCTTTTATAGTCCAAAATTCGATTTTTTATATCTGTTGACTTTTTAATCCATTCTTATTTTTATGTAATTTTATCTTATTTAAAATTTGAATCGAAACAAAACAACGTTTTTGATTAATACAATTAATATTTTAATATAATCAATTATTAAATATCAATTGTTTATCGAGATTCATTTGAAATTATTATGGCAATAAATGGCAATCAAAATACTTATTGAGAGCATTTTAATAAAAAAACATTATTTTTATAAAATGTTTTTACTAAAGATGTATGTATATTATACTATTATATGCTATAATTATTAATAATATTTATATTATACATTTATTAGTTTATTAAATTATTATTTTATTAAGAATAATTATTCAAACATTAACTTATTCTTTAATAAATAACAGGGATAAGAAACACAACAATCGAATGGTGTATTTAACATGTTGTTAACAGCTTTTTATTAACAACAAAACTCACTCTTGATATCCAAGAATGTGTTTATTAAAGTTGACTTTATTAATTTACAAAACTAAAACAATATTATAATTTATTATCAATAAAACTATTTATTTTTCAATTTATTTTCAAAAAATCAACAACCTTACAATTATAAATGTAGTGCATTTACCTATCATTCATTTCATTTTATTTATTCAAT